ATGAGATAACATGATGAACATGTTTAGTTGGTCTCTTTTTCTTTTATTTGTGCGTGTTTGGAGTAGCAGGATATATCAATAGTTCAGGGAACATTAACGTTTTACATGGATCTTGGATTCTTGATTATCTTTCTTCTTTCCATCCTCTCAGCTCTCTCTCTAACATGCATCATGAAGCAGAATAGAACAACGTAATATTAAACATTTACATACCCAGATTAAAATCCATTTACACACCATTTTGAGTCTCTTACTGCATTTATTCCTTTGTGTTGGAGTTTGTGTTTATTTTTATTCAGTTTTTGACTATTTAGTATAGTATAGAAGTTTTAGCTTAGGTAATGAACTTGGGGATAATGGTGTACTTTCTGAAAATTTCTAGTAGGCCTAATTTTGCTTCTCAATTTTTATTATTAACGTTGTTTATTCAAAAGCAGGATTACTCGATCCTCTAGTTTTATATATGCTCATCTTGCATTAGAAGTCTGTTATAATACTGAAATTGGGTTCATTCAGGACAGCAGTGATGCCAAAGAAAATGTGCGAAAATGGCTTTGCAGGAGCAGTGTTGATCGACGTGATAAACTATTAGCTTGTGGGGCACTCATTGTTGCAGAACTCAGGTTGCAAGTGTTGAAGGAGACTGAATTTACTTGTTCAGCTGGCATTGCTCATAATAAGGTAGAAACCAAAGTGGTCCTTAGTCTCAAATTTTCTAATTTTGTTTTCCTTTGTGGACTATCATGTTGTCAAGGACACTTACCCTTATGACGAATTTTGATTTTTGTGTCATCAACTATATGTGATTTGTTATCAGATGCTGGCTAAACTTGCAAGTGGTATGAATAAACCTGCGCAACAAACTATTGTTCCGTTCTCATCTGTAAAAGGATTGCTAGATCCCTTGCCAATTAAGAAAATGTGAGTTTGAGATTGTTCTACCCGGAATAAAAGATTTGTGTCAAAATGATATGCCCATTATGTGACTACAACCTGCATTGCAAAACTACATTGCTTGAAGCATGAACAAAATAAAACCAGATTTAATTATATGTTTCTTAGTTTTATATTTCCCAATAAACAGTGCATAGTTGTAAAGAAATCTTTGTTTTCAGGAAGCAGCTTGGAGGAAAGTTGGGGAGTTCATTACAAAGTGACCTGGGTATTAACACTGTTGGTGACCTTTTGCAGTTTTCAGAGGCAAAACTACAAGAACTCTATGGAATCAATACCGGGTGACTACCTATCATTGAATTATTTTCTTTGAATGACAACTTGTCATGATCTCATTTCTGATCTCTACATAATTCATGAATCACAGTACCTGGTTATGGAATATTGCTAGAGGGGTCAGCGGGGAAGAAGTTGAGGGGCGCCTTCTTCCGAAAAGCCATGGTTCTGGGAAGACATTTCCTGGACCTCAGGCTTTGAAGACGATTGCTTCTGTAAGTAATGCTCTCCAATAGACAAATTCGCTTTGTAGCTTGCACTAGCGGTGAATGATTTTGATCTCACGTACTAGGCCATCATGGGATTTAATCTCGTAAATGTCACTCAACTAATGGGAAATGTAAATATGCCAAGTCTCCTTGCTTCTATTGAAAATTTTTAGTTCAATATAAACATCATGAGAAGTTACATGAATGTCACTATTTAATTCAGCCGCACACATTCTTTGTTGTACTGGCACTCTGCACTCACTGGTTTACAGTTTTTCAGACTTATGGTTCTCTCATAGTCTCATTTGAGATGACACAATCGCAAGAAATTGCATGCAGAAATGGCTAATGTGACTTATAGGTATTCGAGCATAACAAAATTTCAGTTTTATTTCAAGTAATCATATATTTACCAAAATTAAGGGGATGTGGGAAATTCCTCATTGTGTTACACATGGAATGAAAGGGGCTTCTATAATATATTCTCTTCAATGGTCGTCATACCAGGTTTTTGGTTCTTTGCAGGTTCAGCATTGGCTTAATCAACTTTGTGAGGAATTGAGTGAGCGTCTTCAATCAGACTTGGACCAGAACAAAAGGATAGCTCACACACTAATGATGCATGGTACTGCATACAAGGTACCTATCTGTTTTGTGTTCGAACCTTCTCTTTTTTACCATTAAATTTTCCCCTACCAGTGGAGATACTCTTAAATTTTGGGTATGGTTTCTTTCCATTTTGCTTTGTTCTGACCATGATTTACCCTTCAGGCCAGTGATTCAGATTCACATAAGAAGTTTCCTTCGAAGTCTTGTCCCTTAAGGTATGGGACTGCCAAGATACAAGAGGATGCTTTTAGTCTATTTCAAGCTGCACTACGAGAATACTTGGGATCATACACAGCCAAAATACAAGGAAATCAAAACAACCAATGGGGAATAACGTCGCTTTCTGTTTCAGCAAGTAAAATTGTTCCTATACCATCTGTAAGTTTTACCAAACTTGGTTCCTAGTATATAGTGTATGGTTCATCCATTGTTTCTACCTTTCCACTTTGATTTCTAGGTCTCTGCCCTATTTACAACCGCTTAAAACACTTCTAAATGGTCATTTGCAGCATGCCCTAAAGAACTTTACAAGAACCGTTAGATATTGATTCTTTTTTCTCAAAACGCCGTGTAACATTTGCGATCATTATCTGCTGGTTGATGCTTCAGAATATTAGCATATTAAAGAAAGTCAACTATTCTATCAGAAAAGAAGTATTTGGACAAATGCAATCCATTTTTTTATAGCATCGTATTTACTATGTGGATATGTCATCTTGCAGGGAACAGCTTCAATCACGAAATACTTTCATGGCAATCATACGTCTTGCTCTTCGACAATGCAAACACAGGATACCATTTTTGAAGAAGCTGATCCTCTGTCACCTGCAGGTATTTCCAGTCTCCTAGTTGTCCTTTGTGTGTAATTACTAAATATAGTTTCAAATCAGTCTTAATCACTCTGATGGAAGCGAAATGTGGATTTAGGTAAAGAAAGCAACCCGGAGGTGAATGTAACTAAGCCACAGATTGAGTTCCCTGGTGGAGAAACCACGATCAAGCATGCTGTGCCTAGTTCGGATCAACTGGAAGACAAAAAGGATTTGTTGAATGACCAGGTTTTTCAATTATTTTTTTTGAGGTTTACGTTTAATTGTGCACCTGAAATCTAAGCAACCAGAATGTATATACTATGAGATTTAATAGTAATTGTGTCTTATGGGCGGAAATATATCATCTTTAGATTCTCTGTGCTTCAACTGACTATGAGATTGACTCCATTATGACTCCTCTTGTGGCCTCAGTTTCCAATCTACAGTTGCTTTACTTTCGTTTTACCCACTTTCTCAGTTGTGTTCAATTTAGTTACTTTCCATGGCATTACTTCACTGGAAAATAGCACTTATCGTATTTTCACTATTTTTATATGATAATTATACTATGCTGTGCGATGCTAATTACAATGATTTAATTGCATGCTTAGTCGTTTATTTGTCATCATTTCCTATGAAACGATTCTGCTCGGGAATATGAGAATCATGATTTACTCTTTCATTTGCAGAATCCATGTTGCTCTTCAGAAAATCAAATACAAGATGAATTCACCCAAGAATCTGTACCCTTGTCGACCTCAGGTAGTATCTTGCACAGGATGTAACTCTTGGTTATCCCACCTACTGCTTTTCTTTTCCTTCTGTCTGTATAATTAAGGATATCCATGCAGGAAGCGAGCACTGCTCACAAATGAATCAAAGTCGACAGATGAACATTAATTATGGGGAAGAACCATGTGTTATTACATTTAACGTGCCTAGTTCCAATAGGCAGGAGCAGAAAAGAAAAGCAGTGAAAGACAAGGTTCTTAAATCATTTTTACCATCTCTTTGATTCATTTTTGTCTGTGGCATTGCAATAATGTCATGAATGCTACCTTAAATCTAGGATGATGAAGAATGAATATATTTTGCAACAAAGTAGTCGTCTTCCTGTTTTTTAGCCATCAAGTGCTCGTATATGGGAAGTTGGGTTTGTAGAAGATTTGGCTTAACTTTATGATGATACTGTATGGCAGGGAACATCTTCGATATTGAGATTCTTTAAGAATCAAGATCCATCTTGCGCTCCACAAAAGCCAGAACGTGTTAAAAATACTGAAGATGTTAAAGCACCGCTATCTGTTGGTAAATTTGTGTCCTGCCACTGTCTCGCTTTAAAATCGAAAACATGAAGACTCGTCCTTGCCTCTCTTGCTAAACTTGAGTTATATTGCAGGCTCCCAGTCTAGAAATGATAGCAGTTTGGATAGTAATCAATCTGAGCTGCCAAAAGAAAGACCCTTCGAAGAAGCTGGGGCTTCCAGTGTGGGTGGTTCATCTCAAATTGAACAAAGAACAGGAGCATCATGGAGTTACAATGTGGATGAGATTGACCCCTCTGTCATCGATGAGCTGCCACCAGAAATACAACAAGAAGTTCGTGCCTTGCTCCGGCCTCACAAGCGGCATAATGTAGTAAAACGGGGTTCCAGTATTGCTCATTATTTCTCACCAACCAAGAACGCATAGTATATGATGTCGTTCTGCACATTGCTGTATTTAAATCGAAGTAATTAGTAAATACTTGCATAGAATCTGAGAGAACCTAAGAACCTTACAGATTTAAGGTAGCTTTTGGCAGTGCCTTGTGTATATTATAGTGCACTTGTATCATTCCTTGGACCACATCAGCTTTGCTGATAACATTATAAGCACAGTATAGTTTACTTATCTTCCACCCGATGTTAAATTTAATAAATTACAGAAAGTTGTTGATCGGATCTACTTGTAAATACGAGATTTTAGGTTTGAATTTTATGGTTAGCAAATTCGATATTATCGGATTCTTTCTATCTGTAAATCAAGAAAACGGTACGGGACTCTTTAAAAATACTAAACATAACGGGTCGAAAACAAAGGGTCCGGTATAAATTTGGGCTGATCCAAGTCGTGCTTTAAACCAACGGCCCAGATTGATTGATGTGCACTAACCTTTTGCGCAAGACAAGAGAAGAGAGAGAGAGACTATACAAACACCTTCCATGGTTGATTCACCACTCTCTCTCTCTCTCTCTCTCTCCGATTTCGTGCTTCCCAGACTATCTCCGATTCTCTATTGCTCAAGATCTACCCAATCAGGTCCACTTCTCTTCTCTCTTTGTAAATATCTGAATTTTTGTGTCTTGAATTTACATAAGCATTTCTTTTCATGGTAGATTCGTGCTAAATTTCTGGGGTTGTAGAGAGAGAACCACAGCAGGGTACTGTCTATTTGTTTTCAATCCGTCGGATTACTCGGCGTTTAGGAGGAATTAGGGACAATTTTTACTGGGTTCTCTTTGTGAGTTTTTTAGAAGTTGAATAAGGTAAAAGATGAAGCTTTTTGTTATTTTCTAATTTTTCTAGGTCATATTTTGATAGTGTTTTGATCTTTCCTGAGAATTTCGGCACTTTAGCTTTGATAGTGAGATCAATTCTTCATCATTTTGGTTTTGAAGCAGAATCTTTTCGTATGTTTAGCGAAAATCCGGTTCATTGGTTGTTATTCTAATTCCAATGCTTCCCTTTCGACTTTGTAGTCAATGCTTAAACGTTGCTTGTTCTTGATTCAGTAGGCTTGTCGGCCTTGCTGATTCGTCGATGGTGCTAAATAAAACTCAATTTGTTTCCTTGAATGGTTAAGTTACAGTATCTTCATTGGATGTGGAAATTAGTACGAGTTTTCTACTGCTAGAGGAGTTGTAGTATTTTTTATCGATTCCCAATAGTTTTGGAAGGAAATTAGAGTCAGAAAAGACTGGAAATAAGCTATGGTTTTAATTAAGGTATAGGGTTTTAGCCTGGATAGTGGATACTGATATCAATTTTTATAGTTTAAAGTTTAAAGTAGAATCCTCTTGTAAATTAAGTTAATATCAGGTTTAATGGTTTTGGTCTAGTTCCATTTTTTTTTTCCTTTTCTAGTTATGCTCAGAAGTAGTCTACGCCTAAACTCTGCTTATGATTGACCCAGTAGCCTTGTCCATTGTGTCAAGATGTGTATTGATGCCGTATAAAATTAAACCTTTTTCTTTGACGGGTCACGTTACAACTTTCAGTATCTTTACTGAATGTGGAAATTAGTGTGATTTTTCTGCTGCTGTAAAACTTGTTTGCCTCTGGTAAATAGTACGTGAACTGTTGGCCTTATAGTTGAGCAATGGTCTTAAAGAGTGGATAGTAACTTTCTTACTGCAAGTATTAGTGATTGCGGCAGATAATAACATGAAAGTGGACGATGCTAGATGCGTTATTTATATCTGTTTGTTAGGAAGTTAGACTATTTGCAGACACATACCTATTTATTAAAATATGGGTTAATATACTGTAATTTTGACCAATATTCCCAGTCCATGGAAAGAGAAAAACGGGTGGAAATATTACCACATGTTGAAATTTCAGCGACATAAAATTTCAGCAGTATATATGTATGCAATTTTGTTTGGAACCTTCATATTCATTCAGCTGTTGGGAACAAGCAGGAACACTTTGCGGCTAGAGTCAAAAGGCATCTGCAAAAACTTGTAGTGAATTTCAGTCTTTTATGTATTATTTCTAAATCAGACAACTTTGTGGGAAGTTTACCCCTTCGAGTCCAAATTTGAGTGCATACCATTGGAAAAAGTGATGTTACTGATGTATGCTCTGTTTTAATTATTTTAACTTTATTAACTTGAAGCTACAAGAACTATTATTTTCTTCCTTTCCACTGTAGGGTTTATTCGAAGAGCCGTTTCAATTTGTTCGAATACGTTTTCATTGTTTCTATAGATACTATTTCTGAAGATGACATGTTTATTGGATGCATTCCTGACTCGTTTAATTCCTGAAATTTCATTTGTAATTCCATGTTCTTAAATAAACTTTGATAATTGCCATTGATACTTCTTATGAGCTGGTATTTAATCAGTTTCATTGTTTTACATATTTCAGTTTGATATCAAATGTCTCGAAGGTATGACAGCCGCACGACGATCTTCTCTCCTGAAGGTCGTCTCTACCAAGTTGAGTATGCTATGGAGGCCATTGGAAATGCAGGGACCGCAATTGGGATATTGTCGAAAGATGGAGTTGTGTTGGTAGGTGAAAAGAAGGTGACTTCCAAGCTTCTTCAGACCTCTACATCAACAGAGAAGATGTACAAGATTGATGACCACGTCGCATGTGCAGTGGCTGGGATAATGTCTGATGCCAACATCTTGATCAACACAGCCAGGGTCCAAGCACAGCGCTACACATTTGCTTACCAAGAGCCAATGCCTGTTGAACAACTAGTCCAATCTCTGTGTGACACCAAACAAGGCTACACGCAGTTTGGTGGGCTCCGCCCATTTGGCGTTTCGTTTCTGTTTGCAGGTTGGGATAAAAACTACGGTTTTCAGCTGTACATGAGCGACCCAAGTGGAAACTATGGCGGTTGGAAGGCTGCAGCCATTGGGGCAAACAACCAGGCGGCACAGTCAATGCTGAAACAGGACTACAAGGATGAAATAACAAGAGAAGAGGCAGTTGAGCTTGCGCTGAAGGTGCTGAGCAAGACAATGGACAGCACTAGCCTGACATCCGATAAGCTCGAGTTGGCGGAAGTATTTGTCTTGCCTTCGGGTAAAGTGAAGTACCAGGTGTGCTCCCCAGATGCACTGAGCAAACTGTTGGTGAAGAGTGGAGTGACTCAACCTGCCGCCGAGGCCTCTTAGGTTTTCCTTGTTCCAATTAGACGTGATTTTCAGACAATGTTTTGGCATTATAACATTTGAATTGCATGTTTCCTCACTTTGTATGACTTTCTTCCAAAACATATGATGGATTTTGGCTCTTGCACACAGACACAAGGCATCTTGAATAAGCTCTCTTCCGGTGATTAAGGCTCGTTTGGAAGTGTTTTTAAAATGACTGAAAGTGTTTTTGGTGAAAATGTTTTTGAAATCAATTCTTAGTAAAAATTTACGTGCATCGTGGAAAAGCACTTTAAGTACTTTTTGCAAGAAACACATATTTGGTGCTTCTTCTAAAAAACAATTAAAGTGCTTTTAGAACTCAAAATCAAATTTCTTCAAAAACATTTTGAGTCATTTTAAAAGTACTTTCAAACGAGTCATAACTCGAGCAAGTACGTAGTGCATCTTGACAGCATACGGTAGACCGACCCGCTTCATTTTGTATCTGTACTTGTTCCCGATAGCGAGCCAAAATACGCATTACGAACAAAAAACTTATACCATTCTTGCCAAAACGCCAAGTTTGTAATCTGCACTGCGTTAAAGCATCATCTGCAAATAAATAAAGTGATTTGAAAAGAGTCCAGGGACAAAAGTCCTGGTAACTTTAGGTGCCTGATTAATTTTCAGGTTTCGCATTAAGTGCCGCCAAACGCCGAGTTTTGGTCTCGAAACTTTGGATGGACCAAAAACCATAAACCGAGAATGCGTGGAACGTGTTTTCCCGGTGCACAATACCACAGGCAACCCAAACCAGCCCGCGAGCGTCCATAGTTTTCAACTTTTCACTGAGACCCTCGGATTTAATTTATTTATACTTGCAACTCCTAAACTTCTTTTTTTATTTATATTTTTGGTCACCTATGAGAAATCGGGACTTTAGTCTTTAATAGTTTATCTTTTGCCACATCGCAATCAGGTTCCAATTCATGGCAGAAAATGTGTGACAGCTTTATTTATTCCTAAGCATATGTTTCCACTCCATAGTAAATACAAGAGGAAATTATAATATGTTTAATATATCAAAATGAAATTTTTTACTGATTATTTGCCATTTCAATTAATTTTTGTGGCAGCATTAGAAAATATTATGTAAAAAATATGAAATGATAAAGTCTTCATAAAGAGTTCCACTTTTGAGTGAGTTTTTTTAGCATTTCTCTTGAGTCTTTTCCAATTAGAGAGGAAGTTGAACCATATTAATTGGAATTCTCAATGTTTTGATGCTTAAACAATAATGCTACAGTCTAATGTTATTCATCTTTACTTGTAAGTGAAATGTTTTAAGTTCGAATTTTGTAAATGGATAGTTCGATACAAATTTATTTCTCCACTCCTTAGTACAGCTATATAGTTATATCAAAAAAAAAAAATGCCCCTTTGAATTTTTGCTTCACTTTCCTGTTATTTACAAATTTATCGCTTTAATTAATACAACGATAATGGACAAAAAATGAAATTTGAATTATACGAGTCAATCATAATTAAGTATTTAACATGTAATTTAAAATATCGCATTGTCAAAAAAAAATCAACCAAGATTTTCGGATAAATCTCAAAACATCTGAAAATATAATTTTGAAAAGACATTTATATTTTTGTCAATTTAAAAAAAACAAAGTCACCACACGGCAAGTCAGCAGGAGGGGCCGAAAAGAAACAAATAGTAAAAGTGCGGGGTGAAATTTTTAAAACCAAGAAATAAAGCAATCAACCAAATTCGCGGACACAGATTACAATTAACTGCGCCTGCTGTATGTGATGTAATCCGCTTGAGAAGCTAGGAAGGTGACTGATTTATTTATTTCCTCGTCCTCCATGAACGTGCAGCTGAAGCTCTATGACCATAAACGGCTTTGCGTTTTCTACTAATTCAGATTCTCTCCCCCATTTCGGCATCTGGGTAAGCTTCAAAATCTCTTCTTGCGAAGTATTTTCGATTTTATTAATTTATTTTGGTGGAAATTTGAGCTTGATTTGGTTGGTATCTCATATTTTTTTAAAGCTGCATTTTCTCTGATTATTCTATATCCGTCAGAATCTGATGTGTTTATTAATTTATTCGGTTTTAATCTTTGCGTGGAATCTTTTGTTGGAGTGCTTTATATTGGATGTTTCTTGAAAAATTAGAACATTAAAATTAAATGGATTGGAATATCTGCATTTTACGGCAAGTTCGTAATTTTTTAGTTGTGGTGATTGGGGATGAACAGAAATGCTAAACTTTTGATGATAGAGATAAAATTTGGTGTGATTTGGGCATCTGGGTAAGTTGGAAGTCTGATATAGTAGTTGGATTTGTTACAGATTCATCCTTTAATGCTTTTGTAAATCTAAAATTATATGTTGGGGGAAGGGCATTTTGTTATCATCAAGATGCTATGTAAAAACAAAACATAGGATGTATTATCTGTTTGATTATTGCTTTAAGGGTGCCTTTGACTAAGTATCTAATGCTATTAACTATGCAACTCAGAAATCATTTGATCTTGATGTATAGCATTTGTTACATCTGTCATTTGTTGAAGGGTGTCCGGTGAAGGGCTAACTCGCTTTGGTCCTTCGTAATTTTGTAATTCGTGATTGTGATCAGCATCTGTATCTGATTCCGATTTATGTTTGCGGGGTTTTTATGTTATTAGAAACTGAGAAGCAGTGCCTTTTACATTTTTTTTATTGTATACTAAGAAGCAATGTATAAGTAGGAAATGTAGATATAGCTGATGCAGGTCATCTTTTTCCATTCCGGTTTGGTAGACTAAGAAGCAATGTATAAGTAGGAAATTCATCTTAGTTTTATTTGTACTAGGAAGAAAGTTGGGAGAAAAGAATGATATTTAGACGGGGTGGTATTCATGGAGTGTTTGTAATTTGTTTGAGTTCTTTTCATCTCTGTATAGAATTCCGAGTCTGATGACATTAATGCTATAAGATAAACGCCGCAGGATTACAAATCTGAATGTGATGCTATTTTGACAGTACTAATTATCTGTAATTGGAACGTTCACATCGTAACCTAATAAATCTACTATGAAAATGCAGTGATAACTGGAACTCCTTGAAGAGGTTGGTTGACTGCAGCAATATTTGGTGCTTTGATCCCAACGTATACTGAAAGTTCCTATATAGGCATTTAGTGGTTCATTTTTTGGGATTCACTACAATACAGTTTTACAATGTCATTGTTGTCGAAGTTGCGGTGCATTACAGTGGATGTGACTGGCACATTGCTAGCATTACAAGGGAGAGCTTGGTGACTACTATTGTATGGCAGCCAAAGCTGTAGGGCTGGAATGCCCTGACTACAAAAGGGTGCATGAGGGCTTCAAATATGCATATAAAGACATGGCCACCAAGTATCCATGTTTCGGGCATGCTGCGAAAATGCCCAACATCGTATGGTGGAAAACTTGTGTCAGAGACTCCTTTATAAGGGTAAGATATTTGACATGGGTTCTCGAACTTGATCCAGTTCTCTGTGATAACTAGCTTCTCGACAACTGTTGTATGTGATGCCAAGGTTTTGTGGTGCTTCTAAATAACTAGCAGAACTTGTTAATCTAGAAAACTGAGAACATCATCCCCCTAATAGAATTTAGACAATAAATAGTATCAGCTAGGACTTTCCAACAAATTTTCTCGAATAATTTTCTTAATAATGAATTGTGAAATGGACATCTTTTTTTTTATAATAGGCTGGATATCATTACGATGAGGAGACATTTGAGAAAGTGTTCCGACGTATATATGCATCCTTTGGTTCCTCTGCTCCTTATTCCATCTTTCCTGACTCCCAACCCTTTCTAAGATGGGTCCATGAACAAGGTCTTAAAGTTGGAATTATTAGCAATGCAGAATACCGTTATCGAGATGTAATTCTTCCAGCCTTGGGTGTGCACCAGGTAAATTAGTTAAATCTCTGTTTCAGCAGCATTACTTGACACTTGGGTATGCAGATCCCTTGGTTTTGGTTTGCTTTCATGTCTTTCTCATCCTGATTGTATCATATCAATGGTTTTTTCAGGGAACCGATTGGGATTTTGGAGTGTTCTCTGGTGTAGAAGGTGTGGAGAAACCAAACCCAAAGATTTATGAACTTGCACTCGAAAGGGCTGGAAATCTGTCACCGGACGAGGTTCTGCACATAGGGGACAGCATGCGCAAAGACTATGTCCCGGCAACAAGTATTGGGATGCATGCATTGTTATTGGATAGGTTCAAGACATCTGATGCCGATGAGTGGAGGAAATCTGGCGCAGTTGTCCTTCCCGACTTAGAAGCTGCAAAAGAATGGATTACTTCAGAGAAGTCAGCAAGCTGAGCTGCTGAAGGGCATTTTCGCCGGTGATGCTGCTGTTAACTTGTAATCTCTTACCCGTAAACGATGCAATTCTGTTAACTTGTACCTGGCCGGCGGTGCGTTTGTGCAATTTGTTTCTGTACCATCTGAATCAAGGCTGTAGCATTTGCAGCAAAATTACAATGGAAAAGAGATGCTTTTGGTTCAATCATTTTTGCTTCCTTTGCAAACAAGTAGCAATAATTTAAGATCTTTCTGAGATTCAGATAGTGATGGTTATTCCGGAAATCAGTCACGTTAATAAAGCAAGCCTACAACTTTGCACTCCAACTGTCTGTGATGATTACAGGAAAAAAGGAGAGCTGTGAGCCTGCAAATTTTGGCCACCCAAAGTGAGAACTTTACCTAATTTTCTATGACACAAAATACATCACTAGATGAAGAGTTGACTCTAATTGACCCTCTTTTGCCCTCTTCAAACTTTATATTATCCCTTTTTCTTTTAATATTTCCTTATCTTTATAACCCTTAAGAATGTTTTTATATATTAGAGATGATATGCAAGTTGTTCAGAGTAATGCACTCACTATCTTGTACTTTAAGTTCAAATTTTTAGCAGGCTAGTTGGTCAAGACGGTATATCTGCCCTTACAACAAAATTTGAATTGATCTTCATAATTTGGAATAGTTTTGAATATCGTTTGGTCAAAAAAATTAGAATGTTTTAAATGAAAACTATATAGAATTTTTTCTTTATAATTTCCTTTTTGGGTCGGAAGTTGATTCAGTTTCTGACTACATTTGAGAGTGGTCATTGTCACTGGGTCCAATGGGACCAAAGGGGCCAGCTACCAAGACTGCCCCATTGTTGTGGGGATAGACAAGGCTCACTTGCGTTCCTCTCAGCCTCCAACCCCTTTGCTTCTTGTCGCTCAGTTGCCACTTCTTCCCCCACCCTCCTCCTCACTCCTCCCCTTTTTATTATTCTATTGCTATCCCAGCTTTACAGGCCCCCTCCGTCCCTCCCTCTCCCTCTCTCTCCTCTCTGTCTCTCTCTCTCTCTCTTCTCACCTACCGACTCCTGAGAGGTGGTGAGAGTTTTTTGGACCCTCCTCCCAAAGCCAATGCACCAGCACGCCTACAACTAGAGACAAGAAAAGCAACCGTTTTTTGGGGTTAAAAACCAGCCATTTTTGTTCTCTGGTAAAACAAGCAACCATTTTTGAAGGTGGAGGAGAAGAACCCGTCTGCATTTTTCAAATGCTTTTCACATTTCCATCCACTTTTTCAGTCATCAATGCTTCAGAGATCTGGATGGGACTCTCGATGCTCTTGGGTTTTCAGTAAAGTTTCAATCTTTGCCCCACCTTTCATTTTTTCTGCACATTTTTTTAATTCAATGAGGGTTCAAATCTCCATGTTGTGACATTGCAAACCATGTTTTTGTTTATTGGGTTGTGAGAAATGCAAGTTTCAGACTCCCCAAAGAACTCTGAATCAGCAGCTCGTTGTTGTTGTTGTTGTATTCCTGCTTCTGGGTTTTGTTGAATGTTAGCAATGAAATTAGGTAATCAACATAACGATTTCGATTCGTCTTTTGAGCAAAGTTTGAGTGGAAGTTTTAGAAAGTTCACATCTGGTTTGCTACAAAATGATATGGGATTGCTGTCTCCGGGCCATAGCTCGAATGGTAGTTTTCAAAGGTCTAACTCCGTTATGTCCACACATTCCGGCGCTTCAGCTTCAAGCAAGTTTGCCTGTTCTTCCAGAAGAGTGTCCAAGGGGCTAAAGGACTATTCAAGGAAACTTGTTGACCTCGAATTGTTCACAGATTGTATTGGGGATTGGGTTTCGGAGAATTCATGCGAAGATTCAGCAACTGGTTTTGGTCCTCCCTTTATGATCGATGAATTGCGCAAGCTTGATGTGGCATTGGAGGGTGTTTTGTTTCAGCAACTTGTCCGGATGCCATGCTCACCTTATGTTTCCGGTGATCCAAATGAAGACGAATATCTTGCGTTGGAAGACTTCCTTCATGCTGTAGTGAGTGGTTTGTGGCATGCATTTTGGCATAAAAGAGGTGAGCTTCCGCTATTTGTATCTTGTCCGCGTTCTCTTGGATCCAAGTTTTATAGTGTAGAGAAGGCGATTTCAAGGGGAGGGCTTAGAAAGCTCTGTGGTTTAGCATTGATATCGAAAGTTGGGAGTGATCAGCAAGTCCAATGGGATCAAATCATGGAGTTTGCCCTGTTTAAACCTGATATATTGTCCGGAAATGAGTTGAAATTATCAGCTTCCGTTGTCTGCGAAGCCGTCTTTTATGGTATTCATATACTTGTTTCTAGGTGTTTGAGCAAGGTTAAAGCTACAAAGAGCAGTTCTGTGTTCCTTTTGGTTCTGGATTCTAAATATGGAGGGGTGGTTAAACTTGGAGGTGATCTTAGTAAACTCGAATTAAACTCAACTAACCCGTACAAGTCTGCGGTTGAATGGATCAAGAACCATGCTGAAGTCTCTGTGTCTCCTGTGGACCGGATATGGAACAAATTCGGGAATGCAAATTGGGGAGACCTAGGAACTCTGCAGGTACTTTTGGCAACTTACAACGCTATTGTACAATGGAATGGACCGCCAAGGAAGTCAATAGCTTCATTAGTCTCGAATCACAGCCTTCGCCTTCAGAAGCGTAGGATGGAGTTCTGCCTCGGCGGGAATGAGAATGGTCTGGTTCCTTACCTACAACAATCTAGTCATCAACAAGGAGAGATTGTTGAAGTTGACCAAACTAATAGTCAAGTTTTCAAACACAGTGCTTCGCGTTTAAAGCTTAATCAGGGTGAGGTTTTGCTGCTGGAAGATCAACAGCAGGGGCATAAAACTTTCCAAGTACAAGAGTCTCTGGTGGCAGGGAACCATTACCTCTATAGTGCAGTTTGTCTAGATTATCCGACACAGTTGTTGACTTTATACATTGGCGCACATCCGACCAAACTTGAACCTTGTTGGGAGGACATGAGTCTTTGGTACCAAGTGCAGAGGCAAACAAAAGTGCTAAACATATTCAAGCATCAGGGAATTACAAGCAAATATTTGCCGGAAATGATTGCCTCTGGGCGAATTTTGCATTCTGGCCCTTGCAAGAAGCAGACCCCCGGGGGTCGATGTGATCATCCGTTGTGTGGGACGCCAATACTAGTGACATCTCCAGTTGGTGAACCTGTTTCATATGTTGTTTCTCAAGATGGACCTCTTTCCCCCAACGAGGCAATTCGCTGCTGCAGAGACTGCCTAGCTGCTCTAAGAAGTGCCACAATGGCAAATGTCCAACATGGTGATATTTGTCCGGAAAACATAATTCGTGTCGTTGACGAACAAGGTTCAAGAAACAGTGGTTTCTACGTTCCAATATCATGGGGCCGTGCAGTTTTGGAAGACCGGGACAGTCCAGCTATAAACCTACAGTTCTCTTCATCTCATGCACTTCAGCATGGGAAACTTTGTCCATCATCAGACGCCGAAAGCCTTGTTTACCTTATGTTGTTCGTGAGCGGGGGAACAATGCAGCAGCAGGACTCAATCGAATCTACCTTGCAATGGAGGGAGACAAGCTGGGCAAAGCGTTCGATCCAACAGCAGCTGGGTGAGGTTTCTCCTCTCCTCAAGGCATTTGCAGACTACGTGGACAGTCTCTGTGGAACACCATATCCTGTGGACTATGACATATGGTTGAAGAGATTCAGCAGGGCCGTGGACGGCGTCGGAGATAGGGGTAAAATGATCGAAGAAGTGGCGGTAACGTTGAGATTGAAGGATGTTGCTGAGTCCTCAGGAACATGTGGAGGGTCCTAGTTTTTTTGGGAGGGAGTGTTTGGTTTTGTAATTACATTTGGTAAGAGGAGATTCAGCTGCATTTTGTGTTAGGGGCTCTCCGGGATGTCTGAGATCTTTACAGATTGGTGTCGTGCATGGCACTGTGATTGGGATGGACCGAGTGCAAATTTAACTGACTTGTTTTTGTGTTCGTAAGTTCTTGTTTTGTCTTTGGATATGAGATTATGGTCAGTTTCCGTTGGAAAAAAGGGTAATAAAGTAATTGCGCACGCAAAAGTAGGAAATAAATGAGTGGCTTTTTAGCCAAAATTGTTTTTGAGATTTGTTTAACTTCTTACTTTGATCTGAAATTTGAAATCAATAGAAGTGATATTTGAGTTTGTCCACCATCAATCATTTTGATAATTTCTTGAAAAATCTCCATCAAATAAGGATAAAATGACAAAAATGTTCTCAATTTTTGTCATATCATTTTGGCCCATTGTTTGTTAAATTGAGGGTATTTTTGTCATTTGATCATTATTTAACATAATTTTTTAAAGAATGACCAAAATGATTGATGGTGGACAAACTCATAAACCACCTCTATTGATTTCAAATTTCATGAACTAAAGTGATGAGTTATGCAAATTTCAAAGACCATTTTAGCTAAAGAGCCTAAATGAGTGATGTGCCATTTAACAAGGTTCATTTAGCAAAATGACACTTTTTAATATCTACCAAAAAAAGCAACAATTTTTTTAGTAAGAAATGGGGAAATTTTTCGAATTTGCACTAGAAAATTTACCCAATTTACAACTTGTCACGTGAATTTTCATTTTTTGATTTACAAATGATATTCTTTACTAATTTATTTAAGGGGAGAACTTTGAATTCGAGTGATAAAGTTAAAATTATAACCATCAAGTCATTCCACCATTTGCATCACTTGAATTACCTAATTAATTTCAAATTTTCGTTAAGTCATGTGTGTTGTACATGATTTTTTTTTTTACGCCAATTGAGGTAACCATAGGTGGCAAATTACACCTAACTCTTTATTCATGTGACACCTCTGCTGCAATATTTTGTCAAATAGCAATTTGAGAATTTCTGTCTTCATCATTTTCCCCTTTCACAAGTAAAACTAAACCATGAAATGACCATTTTAGCTTCATCATAATCCGAACCAGCATGTCAGCATCTAGCATCCAGTACCCAATCGAACCACCAAAACCCTAAACCCCTGATCTATGTTGCACGGACGCTGCGCAATTTCGAAGTATCAAAGTGTCGGACACCTCGATAGGCAAACACACTTTAGATACGGTTTGGACAAGTCAACAATTTGGACACAACTAAACACGATAAGACATTTTTTTTGTAAATATTAAAAGGCACTTTGAGGCAATTTTGTTTTTGTTTTTTTGTTTTTTAACATATTTAAGGTTTTTTTTACTATCATCTTCCGAAAAAGTTTGAAAAATAGAATGACTTGTTTACTATGTTAGTTTTCAACATTTTGTTCAGGATGTTCCTTTTGTTTTCGGTTCGTTACTGTCGAATCTAAGAATATCTTACCAATCTAGTCGTGTTAGGTGACATGAAGTTCTGCCAACTCGTTTGGTTTTGCACATTTTTCACTGTTCCTCGAGTATCTGTAGTTATTTTTTTAGGAATCCGGATCCCTTTGTCCTAATTCACCAAGTTCGAGAATCTGGATCATTAAAATTTGATTCAACGGCTAAAATTATTATAACTTTTAAAGTGAGCCCTTGTTTGTAGTCATTGAATCAAATCTCATCGGTCCAGATTCCCGAACTTGGTGGATTCAGAGGAAGGGATCAGAGAGGATCCATTTCCTTATTTTTTAAGAAAAACTAATGAAAATGGCTTGAAAACTTTGAGTTTCAACGATAAAGACAAAATAAAGGGTAAGGTGAATAGTATCAGGATTGACTTTTTAATATAAAAATATGATTTTTCGTTAAAGTGAACAGTATTAGAAGTTTTTCGTTAAATTTCCTTATTTTTTATGTGTTGGGTTCATCTTTTATTAATCTAGTTTTGCTTTTGAATCATCAAACTTGGACTTTTTTGGTTTGTTGTTGTCACGCGACTGCCTTCAATTATTGATATTGAAGCTGAGGTTGTGCGTGCTCCATGCAGAACTCTTGACTTTTACATTGTTTGGTACAATCGATAGCGTGAGGAGTGATGACGATAAATCGAATTTAAGATCTCGGTGATAAATAATCGTAACCACTTGAATTACGATGCGCTTGCATAACTGTTTATTTGAAGTGACTCAAATGATGCGGACAAAATGGTAATCCAGTGGGGTGGGGTGGTTTTGTCGGATTGTTTATTGTGATGACTTGGCATATTTATGCGGTTTGTTCTGAAAACTGCAACTTGGCTTGAATAATGTTTGCATTATTGTCATTAACTTTTAGTCTGCAGATTCCACTGCTCGAGCGGTCTTGTTTATCTTATCTACCATAAAATAATATACTGCCGTTTGTAGTAATATTTATTTTCGCTTATAAGTTAAAGATTTAGGTTTGATTTTAGTCAAAAATATTTTGAACCTTATAAATTATAATTTTTTTTTCCTATCTCATTGGTCCTTATTTACAATATCAACATATCGATTTACGCTTAGCTTATTATTTTTAGCCTAATATTTTTTGTGTTTATGGACGCATTCTGCATAAACCAACCTTGTGGAGTGCTACGAAAAACACCATCAGATTTCAAAGTAGCACGATCTAATTCAAAAATCTCACCCAATTGAGCACGTCTAGCATATTTTTTCATAGTAGCGGGATCATAAAAATTATTAAATTAATAAGGGCATCCCTAAATTATAGGAATTGAAATAGGGAATTGAAGAAATATGGGCTTCTTGTAGCAACATGCTATGGGGTGGTGGTTCAGCTTATGGGGTCAAATCAATACGTTCTAAGAAGATATTTGAATATCAATCTTATAGATGATATACTTGTTTGGAAGTACTTTTAAAATAACTGAAAACGTTTTTTGATGAAAATATTTTTGAAATCAATCATTAGTAATCAAAGTGGATACTAAAAACGCATTTGAAGTGTTTTTTGCAAGAAGCATGTATATAATGATTTCTTCTTTGAAACCGAAAATCAATTTATTATAGTTTTTCCATAACAATGGTAAATAATAATAATGGGTCTTGATTTTGACACTTTGACCGCTAGAGCCTAGCTTGATGGACCTCTTTTAACTTAAAAAGAAATGGCAAGGGAAAGTTGTTGACAAGATTCCAAATCTTGTGACTGGTTCACATATATTCTATCATTTCACACTCACCTTCAATACGTTAAACAGAACTCAAAAGTATCTAGCATTCCACAGTGCCTTGAGTGCTAAGCAAATTACAAGGGACAAGAGAGAGTAATGGGTTCCATGGAAGTAGTGGGTGAAGATGTCCAGCCGAGAAGTTACTGGAGATGCAGCAAACAAGATTTCCTGCCCGAAGAATCCTTTCAGAATTGGAGCACATACCGAGCGGCCCTGTCGCAAACAGGCCACAGGTTCAAGAACCGTCTCCTCAGCAGATCGAATGACAACGATGAGATTCGGGAGCTTCGGAAGCAAAGTGAGAACGACATGAAGCGCTGCCTCACGTGGTGGGATCTCATCTGGTTCGGGTTTGGTTCGGTCATTGGTGCAGGCATCTTTGTGCTTACTGGCCAAGAAACGCATAAGCATGCTGGACCGGCTATTGTCTTGTCCTACGTTGCGTCTGGTATCTCGGCAATGCTCTCTGTCTTTTGCTACACAGAGTTTTCAGTAGAAGTCCCGGTGGCCGGCGGAGCTTTTGCTTACCTGCGGATAGAACTGGGGGACTTTGTTGCATTCATAACAGCAGGAAACATACTTCTAGAGAGCATTGTCGGAAGTGCAGCAGTTGCTAGAGCATGGACTTCTTACTTCACAACGCTCTTGAATCGTCCTTCCAACTCGCTACGCATCCACACAAATCTGGCGGAGGGGTTCAATCTGCTGGACCCGATAGCCGTCGCTGTACTAGCAGTAGCTGCAACAATTGCAATGATCAGCACAAGGAAGACCTCTTACTTGAACTGGATAGCATCTGCAGTCAATAACGTTATCATTTTGTTTGTGATAGTTGCAGCGTTTGTCCACGCCAAGCCGTCGAATTTGAAGCCCTTTTTTCCCTTTGGGGCCAAAGGAGTCTTTCAGGCAGCTGCAATTGTTTACTTTGCTTATGGAGGATTTGACAATATCGCCACCATGGCCGAAGAAACAAAAAATCCATCCAGAGACATACCGCTGGGATTGCTTGGATCAATGACAATCATCACCGTCGTATACTGTTTAATGGCACTTTCACTGCCTATGATGCAGAAATACACAGATATAGACCCAAATGCAGCCTACTCTGTGGCATTTCAAAGTGTCGGCATGACATGGGCCAAGTACCTGGTAGCTCTTGGTGCGCTTAAGGGAATGACCACTGTTCTTCTGGTTGGGACACTTGGACAGGCACGGTATATCACTCATATTGCACGAGCCCACATGATTCCACCATGGTTTGCTCTTGTTCATCCAAAGACAGGAACCCCCATAAACGCTACAGTTTTGATTGCCATCTCAAGTGGCTGCATCGCTTTCTTTTCGAGCTTGGATGTCTTGGCGAGCCTGTTATCAGTGAGCACGCTCTTTATCTTCATGATGATGGCAGTCGCACTTCTAGTGAGGAGATACTATGTGAGGGAAATCACCCCACAACAACACCTCTGGAAGCTAGCAAGTTTCTTGCTGATCATTATTGCTTCCTCAATGGGGACTTCAGCTTACTGGGGGCTGAATCCCAACGGTTGGGTTGGCTACGTCGTGACAGTTCCTCTTTGGTTCTTGGGACTTTGGCGATGGCGGTGTTTTTACCTCAACAAAGGTCACCAAAAGTTTGGGGAGTTCCGCTGGTTCCTTGGTTGCCATCCTTGTCAATTGCGACAAACATCTTCCTTATGGGATCCTTGGGTCCTGAAGCTTTTGAAAGATTTGGAATCTGTACTGTGGTAATGCTTATTTACTACGTCTTCTTTGGTCTGCATGCAACTTACGATATGGCGCATAAGCAAGACACGCCAGAATCCCTGAAAGTTGATGGCGGCAATATCAGAGAGAAGGCAGAGCCTTGAAATCATAGCACTCTCTGAATGTTTGTATGAATGCTGCTTCAGTTTCTTTTCATGTTATGATGCAACGTGTTCCGAGTAAAAATTGTTCTTAGTGTAACAGTAAACAAAACTATACTACTTGCAGCAATATGATGATTACTTATAAATGAGTATCAAATGTCAGAATAATGCTGGAAATAGAATGCAAGCTGAACATATGAAAAATATGAACAAATGCATTAATCTGCGTACAAAAGTTAAAATATACAAGGCTGGGTTCATGGCATCCTTGGCACAGTAGGAAGAAAGAAGGCGCACCGATACAAATAGCTATGTGGAGATTTTGTTTGGTAATATGCAATCTACAACCAATTGACAGTTGAAGTTTGTTGTTCACTGTCGCTCAGTCTTCTCAGCAATGAAAGCGGTACAAAATAGTAAGAGAGAGTTAATTCTCAGACACATTTCACCACTAACCCAACGGTGTCACTACAACGCAAATAGATATTGGAAATTCGTTATGCTAGTAAAAGTTGTTCCACATTTTAGCATTAATACATTAATAGCCATCTAGTCTTAGACACAAAATGGAACAAAAAAAAAAGGAAAAAAAAAAAAAAAAAAAAAAAAAAAAGAAGAAATAAGAGTAATTCCAGGTTCAAGAAAATCAATTACCATAACATGTCAGGCATAAGATGAAGAGATCAGTGTTCAAGTCTGTACCTGACTCCAAATTCACCTTTTTACCAACAGACATTTCAATATTCTCCAACAAGCTTATTGCCCCAGGTCGACCTGCACCAACTTAGAACCAAGGAAAAATCAAAATTTAGTTGTCTGTCTATTCTGAAGAAAAAAAAGAAGTAAATGCCTAATGAGAGATTTGATTGCAGTTCGTATTGTTTCAGTCAAGTACCTTTGTCATCTGCAGATTTGACCTATGCTGCTTAGAGGAATGAACTATTTTGCTCACTTCATAAAACAGCTGTCCAAACATCACAATTTGCAAGAGTGCCGACTGTAAGAGACCGTGAAGCAAATCCACTTTTTCAGAAGTTTCATACGAGAAAAATTTGGTAGAAAGAAACGTAAAGCAGATAATGCCATGGTAGTAATTCTAAGTACCTATGAAAGGCTGGATCACTTATATCATTAATCCTTCAACCAAAAGTTAGCCTCATTATTTCTGGTTTCCTTCTCCAAAAGAATGGACAGAAACTGAAATATGCCAACCAAATATGAAAATTATGTTGTAGAACGATCACTGATATTAAAGTAACATTACTCTACGCAGCAGAAACCAATATTGATTTTCCAATCCTTGGCATATATCCAAAGACAAATTTGTATTATCAACAATCTTCTAAGTTACAGCGTAGACCGCCAACTATATAAGGCAAGCGTACTGCATGCCAGTAAAGTTTAGATTGTAGTACGTGAGAAAATATGGGAGATTGAAATGAAAAGACATCACCTCCTATTTTTTACTCTAAAGAGTTTAGTACCTAGCTCCGACAACCAAAGTAAGAAAGAAATAGTTCCACTCACCGTCTAACCAAACTTTGATGAGAAAAATAAATAAAAGCCTTACTTTAAGACTAGCAATATAGGCTGCTCCAACATTTGTCAATGCCTGCTCTAACCTTCTTAGGCTTGCAAAGCTCTTGCACAACTTTTGTCCACACAGAGGCTTTGGGTGGCAAAAACTTTTTCAGCATTACTTCCACAATCTGGGAAGCACCTTCCATCCTGTGCTGCTTAAATAGACGGACAACAAGCTCATTTAGGAACTCCCTTCCATCTTGAGGCGGGTTGAGCTTTTCTCTCAAAGTTCTCAGGAAGATGTCACACGTAACTGAATCGGGATCACAACCCCTATCCAGCATTCTATTTAAAATATCAATGGCAAGGGAGATATTACTCTGCTTGCAGATAGCATCGAAAAGTATGTTAAAAGTGATAACATCTGGTTGACATTCAGGCTCCTGACAAAGCATTTCATTGAAAAGTTTCAAACCCTGCTCAACCAAACCATCATTGCAAAGGCCATGAATCATTGAACTATAAGCCACAACATCAGGTTTATGTCCACTTCCTAGCATCTTCTGCCACGCCATCAGGGCCTCTTTGAGTTGCCCATCCTTGCATAAACCATGAATTAGGACACTGTAACACACCTCATTATGCATAAAATTCTTGTTTGCCATTTCATTCCACAAACGAATGGCTTTTTTACTCTGACCCGTCTGAAAGAACCCCCTCATTAAGGAGCTATAAGTGAAGGAATTGGGCATGTAACCATTACTCACCATCTCACAGAATACTTCCTTGGCTTCATCTGGTTTTCCTTCTCGACAAAGGCCATCTATCAGAGCACTATAGACAACAGTGTTGGGTTTACATCCCTTCTCCATCATCTCCTTCCACAATGTCATTGCATCAACAGATTTTCCCTCCTTGAACAGTCCACTAACAAGGACCGAATAAATATACTCATTTGCATGACGCCCTCTTTCCTCCATAGAGATCAACACTCGAGCCCCATCAACCACTCGTCCTTGCTTAACAAGTCCATTGATGATTGTTCCGTATGTCACATCATTAGGCACACATTTATTTGAAATCATTCGATCCAAAAGACTAACTGCCTTATCCAACTTACCCTTGAGACACAAACCATGAATAAGGGTGTTATATGTGACTTCATTTGGAACACAGCCTTTGAGAAACATATTATCAACAAGCTTCGCTGCACGTGCCAAGTCACCCTTCTTGCACAATGCGTTTATTAACACATTAAACGTCATAGGACTCGGCAAGCACCCTCAATTTGCATTTCATCCAACAAAAAAACCGCTTCGTCAATCCTATTATCCTTGCATAACCCATCCATCAATGTACAATACGTGAAAACATCAGGAGTGCAATTCCTACTCGGCATTTCTCTAAACAATTCGACCGCTCTATCAACCAATCCAAACTTACACATGGCCTTGATAATCAGATTATAGCTGAGTACATTGGGCGAAATGTTCATGTTTGAAGTACCAACAACACGGGAATAAAACTCTATAGCATGAGAATAATGACCCTCCTGTATAATGACATTAAGAACCGAATTAAACGACTTAACAGTTCGTCTACACTGAAATTCATCCACCATTCTGTAGAACATTTCTACAGCTTTATTGGGTAAATGCGCTTTTCCAAAAGCTCTAAACATCAGAATAAAGCTCTTCTCAATAAAAACCCGCCTTTCGCGCTTCATGCGATCCAAAACCTGCTCCAAGGACCGAAAATCACCCGAATTCGCGTAATTCTCAATGAGTGAATAAAATGTCGAATCACCCGATCTGTAAGATCCCAATTTGGCACCTTTCCTGAACATTTCATCAGAAATTGGGGGCTGGATTTCGTCATTGTTTACAGGTTCGGCTTCGAGAGTTTGGTTGGATGGAATTGCAACAACTGAATAGGGAGAAAGAAGTGAAGAAGTTAACAACTCACATGGCGGGATTGGATAAAGACTCAGCTTCCAAACGCCCTGTGGGATTGAGCTGCCGAGGAGCTTCGAGTAGTAAGTTGAGCATTTTGGCATGGGATTAGAAGGGTTTCTTCTGGGTTTTGGATTGAAACCTGCATAAATCTCCAAATGGGTTGAGAGATACCGGAATCAAAATACTGGGTCTTGATGCGTTTTTTGGCGTTCCAGATAGAAGCGAACTCTCCGAGTGAACTCGCTGAGTGGTCTCAGAATATCACTCAGTCCTCTAAACCAGAGCAGCAGAAAGAAGGCAAGGTGAAGAAACCCTGGTCGGAAGAAGAAGGAGACGCCGTTAGTTAGGGATTGCATGAGGAACCGTTAGATCTCTTTCAAATGAGATCGTGCGGTTAATAATTAAACATGCCCTCAGCGATCCCATTTGAATACCAAAGGTCCAAAACTCGATTGGAAGTATTGGGGTGCATCAAACTTACCTAAACAGATTTACTGTTACGTGACGTCTCATGCTAAATAATATATTATTATGTGCAAGTTTTCTTTCACGTAATGATAAATTATTGAATAAGAATATCACGTGACGGTAAACTCATTATATTTAAGTTATTTTCTTGTTCGTGAGTTTGAAAGATATTTTTGTGATTTGGGTAAGTTGGATAGAACATTATGTTAGTGCTCTTGCATGATTGCACTTAAGTTCAAATTTCCTTATTTGTCTTGACCTTTTGGCTAAGATGAAGTGCAAGTGTCGCTTATACAGTGCATCACAGAACGTGAAAGCCGTCACCGAAGCCACCGACGGCTGCGGTGTCCAGTACAACACTGCAACCGACACTCACTTCCACATAAAATCGTAGAATATGTGAATGATGAGGATGTCGGGCAAGCAGCCGAGCGTCAGGTGGAAGGCAAAGGTGGAGGACATGACGATCAACTTAAAAAACCAACAAAGGGCAAAGGCAAGAATGAAGAATTTGAGCAACTGCTTGGCTGTTCGTGATGTCTCCCCCGAAAGCCAATTCGGCAGGGATGTATCGATAGGTTTGGGACTGTTGGTGTCCGAATTGACAAAGAGCCGGCATGGAAAGGAAGGTGATCAACTTCAGCCGAAACCCCGTGTTGCACTCCATAGGAGGCCATGGTCTCAATTCCAAGTGCGAGTTTGTAAGCAAAATGGACTGCCCAGATTGGGAGGTTCAGTTCCAGGTCTACGTCAGTGCCTTGTACAAAGCCAGAGGTGGCCACATTCAGCGGTTACGACAACAATTTAGTCAAGTTGTTCTTGGACAATGATTGGGAAATATGTCCGTACCATGCCATGGAAGCAGCCATCTCTGACCAACCCTTTCAAGCTCTGGTTGTGGTGGACTGATTGTTGTAACCTAATTGTTTCCCAACTCTTATAACCTAACAGTTACGAGGACTCGCAAATATGATACAACTCAATTCTCAATTCCCTTAATCAACCTGCAAGTAGCACAAGAAGGCTATGGAAGAAGAGGGAAGGAGAGATGAAGGAGCAGAGCTCCAAATATTTTTGTATTTAATTTCCTTTTTATCAAATTAACCCTCCCGCAAAGCCATTACACAATGGACTATTTATAATACTCCCAAACCACCGCCAGCTAGCAGAATCTAACAGACTTTCCTAATTACTTGTAATAATCCCATTTTACTAACTAATTCAATGCCTAACTATGATTAAGCTAATCAGGGTCATAACAAAATATAACCTACAAGGGTGGTGATATCCCTCTTGCTCTTTAATTATGTAAAACAAGCTTTTAGAACGCTACGGCCAAATGCGATTGTATTATAATTTATTGGGGAGTTTAGCTAGGCCACACGCCAAGAAAGGCATCATCACATATCATTCATCATGATACAAACAGCCCACTTGTTATTGTGCACTAGAAAGCAGTTCTTATTGTCCGTGTAACAGAAAAGTGTATATTCTTCGACTTTCATGCTGCTGCTTCATCAGTAGAAGAGACTTTGTTTAGGACATAAACCCGATCTCCAACCGTTACGACATTTCCCTTCTGCCCAGTAAGGAAGCTTTTGCAAACTAGGTTCTGCCCAAAGTAGACCTGGAAATCCATTTACCACATGTGAATCACTGCATGGATACTGAAGGAATATGATGCAAAGCCCTACAATTACTACCTATACTCACCTTTCCTTGCTGTTTTCGCGTCGGACGCAAAACTGTATCAGATCGGATTTTCTTAAGAGTGTTATTTGGCTCGGGCCCTGCAATGCCTGTGTCTTGATTGATCGTAGGTACCTTAAAAACACGAAAATTCATTTGTAAAGATCAGACGATTCATATTAGTCTTTCTGAAATGCTCAGCTCTTAGTATACTTTTGAGACGAGTATTAAATAAATGTTCTTATGTAATTTAGCTTGAGTGTCACCACATAGCAAAAAATGCAGAAAGGGTAAGAATCTTAACCTTACAACGAGAGCATAGCTTGACACCGAGAAATGTGAGTTTGTCTATTTTGATTTCTGTCCACAAGTCCTCAGAAAATGGTTCGCAACCATCAACAAGAATACTGTGACATGCAAGTAAGAGTTTTCAAGATTCAAAACTGTGAGTATCTATATAAATATATGTTATAACACTGATAACAATTTTGGTAGAGTAGAAAATTACTTGAGTGCTGAAACATGTCATTGAAAGTTCAGAAATTTGGATGCTTATTAAAGATTAAACAGATGGAATGATAAATTTAGAATTACTTGGGTCTAAAACGGTTAATTGGTATGGGTTCCGTCAGAAGCTGATTCAGTGCATCCATTGATCCCTACAGAATATGTAATGACAAGTTCCAGATAAGAGCTTCCCTCGTAAAAGCAAAAGGACGTACTTTTCACATTGCAACTTGACTAACCTGAGATATTAGCATGTAAGGATACATGTTGGAGAACATGGTTTTGTATCCTGGAGCATATTCGGGTTCCACAGGCCTAGTTTCTGAAACTGCATTGGAACACAGTGGGCAGATTAATTAGTTTTGTCCTAATAATACCTGTGTGCACCACACTGGATGCTATTGCATCTTCAAATTGATTTTCCTATCCAGAAATAATCGCAGGTTTTGATTGATCAGCCCTAGTTGGTGCGCTCAGTGCCTAACTCTTTGAAAGCACCATTATAAAGTCTACCTGTATTAAAGCGAACAAGTCGACTGGGTTTCCCAATATAATCTGAAAACCATTTTGATGCAGCATTTCCTTCATCTAATGCAGAACCAGACCATTCCCACATGGAAACCCCATCTGCTATTTCTCGTGGTGCACTCAACGAAACCTTAAGTACATCCATGCCAGGTGCTTTTAGTACTGCAAAAAGAATGACAGGTCGTTATTCAATTTAATAACTTCAACAGAACTCACTGAATGTTGAAAGGTAGTTAGCACAATGACCATATGTTATGAACAACTACTTTGATTGCCAGTACAGCATTGAAATGATTACTTTTCTTCTACAAAACGATTATTTTTTACTACAAAAGGTGAATAAACTTGAACCAAATCCTATACGGGCAAAGAAACAACAATAATATAAATACAACAGAAGAATGTGACTATAAGAAGGAGATTAAAATTAAGAAAAGAGTAAAGCTCCACTTCAACATCCAACTAGGCATCACTAACTCCGGAAACAGGTATACATCATGTGCGAATTTGATCATTAGTTAGGAGAAAGAAGTATGAGTTAATTACCACATCTCCTGCTTAATAGTAAAGTTTTTCGGCTCCGGAAAGCATATAAAAATAGTGAAAAAAAATGAGCAAAAACAAACTCTGTAGCAAACAGAAAATTTACTTTCTTTTTACCTAGATAAGAGCTCTTGGTAGGTTCCCAACCCTCGACAAACGCCTCGTTTGGCAGCTCTACCTCAACCAAAGCAAGCTTTGGTTCAACTTTTTGAGTATATGCCCTTCCTTTGGAGTTTACAACTAACCACTGCCGATCCCATCGAAATCCTGTACACCCAAAACATGTTGGAAAAATCAAACATGCCCTGCACTTTGCAATCTGACCAACAATCTTCATCTCAATAATTCCAAGTATTCCTTGTTACCAACTTAAGAAATATAACGGACCATCAATAGTGTAATAAAAAGTCATTTCAGCTAATATTTGCCAGTCCCTATGGATTAACTGAGTAACTAAAAGTGATCGAATTCGAGTAACAAGGTGTTTGGGCCCCAAATAATATTGTTGGACTGAGTGTAGGTTTATGCTCGGCTCAAAGTTGTTTCAAATATACTGTGGGTTGCTTGGTGATCCCGGGCCATTTAGCAAGGATGGTCGAGTCCTATCGCAAGAAGGAGTAGTTCGGATAAGCAAAGGGGTCGAAGAAGTTCTAGTGCAATTCGGATTCTCAACCAACAATGAATATAGCCTCAAAAAGGGGGTGAGTTCAAAGTCCTAATAGGGGTAGGATTGGTCGAAGCAGAGTCAGAATAGAACAAGAAGTCCTAATTCAGATATAATTTTGATTCAATCTCGAGGAGGATTTGGTGCTATAAATACAAGACATCATGCAACAATTGGTGGATCTCCAATTCAACATACAATTGCCCTGCGCAAAACCTCTCAACATCTTGAGATTTTTTCATTTTCTTTTCTCTACCGACACATCTTCAGTTTGGATAAACAGCACTGTGAAGGCAACCGGCGAACACCTTCAGTTTGGATAAACAGCACTGTTGCTGCAGAATTAGCCGACTGAGGAGCACCTTCAGTTTGGATAAACAGCACTGCGTCGAAGCCGACTGGTTACCTATCTAAGTCTCGGTCAAGAAGGGTTTCCGAATCCTTATTGGCAGAGGTCATCTTATTAGCCTTCTCGATGAAGTAAGGTGGTGTGACGAGTTACAACATTCGGCGCATTGAACGCCAAGTGATTTTATGATTGGATACTCACGAGTGAGTTTCAGAGTTCGGCATTCTGGTGGTCGAACCATATTCACCATCAAGACATACATCACCTTTGAATATTTGTGTTCGTACAGTTTGGTGTTGATTCGACGTGCTTATACTCTCACAAATATAATCACTGTGACCGAATCCAGCGCCGACAATTTGTGAACTTCGCAGAACTAGCAGCTTTGTCTTCAGGCTCAGAATTCGAAGGCTAAGATTTGTTCCTTCCTCGGCCACAACCGCAAAATAAAGAAATCAGCAACGCACTCACCGCAACATCAACAAATTTTACTTATCGATCAAGCTCGGCCGACGAATTGGCACGCCCCGCATTCAACCGAATGACGTAGTTAGCTTATTAGTTACTTGGCCT